AATAATTGCCATGGACACTTTTGTCCCTGATGCAATACTTAAATGTGCTTCCAGAGTTTCTATGTGGCAGTGGCTGTGGCAAGAGGACTTGTATAGTTTGTGAAAATGCTTGCACAGAGAAAATCACATCTTAATAATTACTTTTCATGTAATGCAATTACCTGAGCACAAACAGTTTTATCTGGTATGCTTTTGCTGAATAGGATGCCAACACTCATGGCACAAAAACAGGGATAATTCAAACAGGTCTGAAGGGATCAGGACTCAGGAATGCAAGGCAGCCATTGGAGGTGAGATGCAGAGCAGTCATGGGTGGTGATGAAGTAGTGGCAAAGCTTCTCCGTATCACAGCCTGTCAACAAATGACAGGAGGGTGACATTTTTGTCTCTTGCACTTGTAATCTCAAAGTGAAACCCTCGTCAATAGATAAATTTCTTCTTGTGGCTGTTTTCCTGATTAAAGTGGTGTCACTTCCATTTCCAGAACCTCTGCTCACTAGTATCTTATAATCTGAACAATTATTTTGAGTGTACTCTTATCATATTTTATATTAAAACATAGATATATATTCCCTTGTGCATTTGAGTTAGCAATTTGATTTAGATAATCAGATCTTGTCCATATATTCAAATAATTAATGAGATTTTCTCCTGGTTTCCTGGTTAGGTATGACAATATAGGATAATGGATTTGCACAATTTTTTAGCCAAATCTGAAAACATTTGGATGTCTTGAGTCAGAAAGATCTTTGAACTGAAATTTAATTAAGGAGTGGAAAATAGGAAGAGTGGGTGGATGCAGGAGAGGATTAAACAAACAAAAAAGTCTCTGTTTCTTCAAGATTTTGGTCCTGTTAAATGGTGTAAAAAACTCTTGTCATAGAATAGTTGGGTCTTATAAATGGCATAAATTTGAAAATTAGGAAGAGTGGAAAATGAAAACTTAGTAATTTGATTCCTTTCTTCATTTTTAACAAAAATGAGCAAGCTGCAGGGGAGAATAAAAGACAGCTGAAGTTGAAGGAAGCACATTTGTAACCATCTATGTCCTAATGAGTAACATTAGGAAGCCATCTGTAAGAATTTAGTCTTGACTATAATACTTTTGGTCTTGTCTGAGGGAAGCAAGTCCAAATCTATCGAGTACATGGTGAAAAAAGTTGGAAATCCTGGTTACTACAAATGGAAACCAAAGAGCCATGCTTAAATGCTTTCACCTCAGATGAGATGAAAGTTTCAGTTCCAGTATCAGTGCTTATCAGATAGATGAGAAATAAATTTGTAGATTACATCAGTTATTCTTAAACACTTTACTGGATGTGCAGTAGCTCATAAGTACTGTAATGTTGCAAACCAGCTTTCATAAGAAAAATTATTTAAGAAAATTATTTGCATTCTTTTAGTACAAAATGTTAGACATTATTATATTGGTTGATGTCAGTTCTCTGTAAGGCTTTGACTTGACATCTCTGAGAAGGGGCTTTGGCCACATGCAAGTTATGCCAAGCTAAGAATCCACGTGGCCAGAGTTAGTCAAGAGTTAAAAAGCTTTTAACAGAGAACAGACTGTAGACCCAAATGATCTGTGCCCAAGTAAGATAATTCAGTTTGATCAATAGCTCAAAATGAAATACAGACCTTTTAGCAGTGGGGGCAGTGTGCTGTGTATTTGTCTTCAGCATATGTAGGAGATTTGCACTTCCCAGCTCTGCCAGGCTCCCAGCCAGAGGCAGAGGTGATGCTGGATTTGTAATTTTGTGTAATTTTGTGTGTGGTCTCCCATAGATGGAGAGAACCTGGTATGATGCAACTTTTGTTCCAGACAAGTAGAAGGACCTGATGAAGTGCAGGTACCAATGCCATGTAACACTGCAAATAAAACTGTCACAAATGTTATGCTCTTGGAAAGAAGTGACAAGTTTGACTGGGAAAACTAATTGAGGCAAGTCTAGAATAAGCAGTGTTATCAAGTTGGTTTTCATCAACAGCTAATCCAAATTTAACTAAGATCTCTCGGGTTCAGACTTCATTATCACCTAATGCAGGCTGAACACATCTATCTCTCTTTGGAGATTTGATATAACACCTATTTAGAGAAGTAATTTACAAGTGTTAGTCTTATCTGTATGGCCAGAGATGTTCATAATTTGTTTAAAGGTGTTTGCTTTGTATTTGTAAAGATTAAATTTGCTGTCAGGGTATTAGAGTGGCAGTGACTGAGTCTTGGCATAAGTCTTTGGAGAAAGAATCTCTTGGCCTTGTGTTTTCAGAAAACTGAATGTTGAGTCCCTCGTTCTCTTAGTTGTAGATGCAAAGTGGCAGTCTGAACATGTGTGTGTTTTAAAATCCTGTAAGCAAACCAGATTTTTCAGAATAGCATCATACTAAGAAATCTCATAGTTTTTCTACATCTCCAAAGACACATATGGCACCTTCCTGTCCCTGCCAGAGGATGTGTGCAGTGCTCCTTCCTCTTGCATGATTCTCAGAAAACTTTTATTCTGTGCTTCCTAATCTGTCCCTCCATTGAATGACAGAAATCTTCTGCCACCTAGGCTGCCCTAAGTAAATCCTTGTGTTTTATACACCTTGAGAGCTAAACAGGTGTGAGATAGAGGTGAGGGCTGTCTCAGATTGATGGTGTACATCCAAAGATACTGCAAGTTAATGGAATTTTGGGGAAATTACACCAGTGAAAGTGAGGTCTTCTTCTGTACTTCTACAATATTTGTGAGAATAGTCTGAAAGTTATTCAGGGGCCCTGACAAATAATATCTGGATCTTTACTTGCCATAGATGTGGGGGAAAAAGACAGCAAGGTCTTTAAAAAATGAAAATTAATTAGGATCACAAAGATTCAGAAAGAGAAGTATCTCCAAAGGAAAAAAAAAATCAATAAACTATGTCATATAAACAACTTACATGTAAGTGATAAATCTCTCAGCATCTGTTGACCAGTGTAAAGAGTGAGTTTTGACTTTCACATTGGAGTTTATGTACACTAAGTACATGAACTCTAAAGGTACAACTTGTTAGAGATTAAGTGAGATGGCACAGGCAGGCTCCTCCACTCCAGACTGAAGATTTCCAAGAGAAATAACCATCTTTAGTGTTCTTAACTACCTCTGAGCCAAAATACACCATTTTTAGGCACCTATTTATGTTATGTTGTGGTTTCTAAGTGTTGTGCAGTAAAAGACAAAAGTGATACGAGAAGAGTAACATTGAAGACCACTGATTTATGTGGACTGGAAACTTAGGAAAAGCAGAAAAAAGAGAAGCAGGAAAAGGAGAAGAAATAAAGCTGGCCTGTTGCTCTTGGTTATACTCGACCTGTTTTAGTTGAAGTAGTTCTGCTTGCCTCTGGCCACAAGCATTTCCTACTGTATTTTACCACTAGATCTTGAGTGGTTTTTGTAGGCTGACCCTGCACAGTTCTCTTTTCAGACATCTTTTTGACTCTGAATAACCACCTTGGCACTGGTTTTTAAAGTTTTGAGATTACTTACACAATTCTACAAAAAGAGATTCATACTGTGAAAATGCCCCTGGAACCTACTCTGAAATATGTTCTAGATGTTTACAGTGTTCAAAGAACATCTGATTTCATTTATTGCCATGGAGCTGTGGGGCTCTGCTGAAGTAAAGCACTCTTGAACCTTCTTAAGTCCATTTGACAAGATGGTTAAGACAAATTTTATCTTATTAATAGATAAAAGGAAAATCCTTAAGAATTATTATTAAATAATTAAATTATAAAATTAGAAGAGATGATTGCTCATTCACAGCTGTCCTGTATCAGCTTAATTTTGAGTGCAAGATGCAGAGTTTGACAGGTCTGTTTCTATCCAGACACTGAACTGAGCACTGCTGTTCTGTTCTCCTGAAAATTATTTTGGAGTTTAGCTTCAGTAAAATGCTTTGAAATAACATATTTTTTTAAAGTGCTTATAAATTCCCTCTAGAAGTCACCCTCTTACTTTGCTGTCTCATGTTACAAACTTGAATGTATTAATTTGGAAGATGCTTATCTTTGATTGTTCATTACTCAAGATAACCCTTGGCAGAGTCCCCAAAAATACCAGAGCAAGAAAGAGGCCTGAGAGGTGGGGCAGCAGGATGGCTGCCTAGCCCTGATGATCATCTCAAGGCTGATCTTGTAGGACTGGCTAAAAGGGTGAGATAGAGCCCCTGGGAGATTGCCAGCAAGTCACCAATTAATACTAATTGCATGGGAAAATACTGTAAGGGTGGTTCATCAGGGACTGAATGAGTTCATAGCTGTGCTGCACCCAAGGGCTGTGTGTCTCCTGGTATTTACTTCAAGAAGAAAACACAGTGTTGCTTGCTGCTTTATTCACTTGCAATGTTTTTAGATCTAAACTACAATTAGTGTGGAGGAGCGTGAAACATCTCACATCTATCATAGAGCTTGGCTTGTGAATATTTGAGTTAAACTGTAATATTCTAATTGGTTTCAGCAGGAATCATCACTGTCTTAGCTTGAGCCAGACATTGCTTCTCATTTTCTCATAGGAAGGAAAACAAAGCTGCAGTTGCATGAACTATATGCACATGATAGTCCTTTCAAAACAAGAAAACTATGGACATCTGACTTTAAAAGGGTTTTTGGCTTTGCCTCTCTGATTTCCAAGGAAAGCTTTGTAGAAAACTGAGATTTAAGCTGCCGCTGTCTCCTCCTCTGCCTAGTGACAGCTGTAAACATCTGCTGAGGATGTCATTTATTGTCTCATCCTCTGGCTGCTCATGAGGATCGTGAAGCGTTGTGGCTCTTTGAAAATTAAACTGGTGATGCAGTGGGGCAGGAGCGAGCAGCCAGCGTGCTCAGAGGCTCTGCAGTGTGTGTGTGTCCGTGCTGTCCCGGGATCGCTCCCGGCGGAGCGGCGCTTTCCCGGCCGCTGTGGGCAGGCGGGCGGCAGCAGCCGGGCTGGGAAGGGCGCCTTGCTCCGCCAGGGCGCTGCGATTTCGCCTCCTCGTCCTCCTCCCGAAAAGGCAGACAAGGCTTCCAAGTCCTAAATTGCATTTTGTCTAACTCCTCCCCTGTTCTGGCTGCTTGCTCATGCAACCACCCACGGATCCGAAACAAAAATGTGTGAAGCGAGGCAGGGAGTGCTCTTGGCAGCGCGGATTCCATCTCCTCTCTGGGTGCCCGTCGTGCCCTGACGCTGTCTCGCTCCTGGACACAGCGGAGCTTTGGCTAGCCAGAAACACACCAGCGTTTCTCTCCGTTCCTTCTCATCGCCCTGTGCTCCCAGGAGAAGCAGCAGCAGGGAGAGGTCGGTGGATGAGCGCGCCTTTGTGGCAGCGCTGGCCGGGCGGGCTGGCGGAGGCGGCGTTGCTGGCAGGCCGTGCCCCTTGGCGGCGGCGGGATCCGCGCCCTGCCTGCGGAATCGGGGAGCGGGGACGGGCCGAGCGCTCCGAGAGCTCCATTGATGCCCGCAGGGAGTTTCAGAGCGCTGCTCAAACAGCTTCTGGTGTCTTCTGCACAATGCAAAGAGGGTCTAGGATGAGGAGTCCTTGTTAATCAAAGGTAATATTTTTATCTTTAGAGTAGCATAAGTTAGTGGTCATTGCTGCTGTTCGGTTGTTTATTAAAATAAGAGCGATAGTGAGGAAAGTTATGAAGTCTGCAGGAGAATAAAGCTCCATGGGAGCATCGTGCTGAGGGTTATTGAAGTTCGGCTGTTCCCCTTTATGTGGGCTTAGTTTGTGTTACCAGTAATAAGAAAATCTGTATGGGTTCCCATCAGAGGAAGAAACTACTATTTTGTTTCCTTCTCCATCTTACATTTTAAGCCAAAAGTTACTATTTATATGCAATATTAAATTAATTCTGCTAATGGAAATACACTGATGTATAGGCAAGGTAAATACTTCTTATTACCAGAGACAGTTCCTCACGCCTCAGGGTACTCCCTGGAGTACAATGCGTCCTGTACAGTGGTAAAAATATTAACATTTGTTGTACATACCTCAGCAGAAAGAAAAATCATTGTTGCATTTATTTTTCCAGCCACCTTGCAATAAGTATGATTACACAGACAGTGCCAAACAGATTTTTCATTGTTGTGCCAGTGTTTCTCATGTGCTCTTAGTACTTCAATCCTATTTTAGTGGTTTACACTGCTATTTGGGGATGATAACAAGTATGGTCTTAAAAGCACAAACCTTGTGGCTGTTGCTTATTTTTTGTGCCCAGGCTGACATGCTTTTTGGGCTGAATGGGCTCAGCTGCATTGAAGACCCCCCCAACTCTAAATCTAGAGCTCTTAATAACACAAGTGTTGTTTGACCCCAACTCTAAATCTGGAGCTCTTAATAACACAAGTGTTGTTTGAAATGTTTTTTTTCCTAAGAAGAGGTTAAAATGAGGAGAGTGTGGTTTGTGTTCTGAAGAACCTGACTCGGTTCTGCCAGTGCAGCACCATTTGTTCTGTGTAATTTGGGAGAACACAGCTTGTACCTCCTGTTTGCCTGATGGCACATAGCAGCCCCAGAGGACACACGCTGCTTTTGTGCTTGTGCTCAGTTTTAATCTTTAGGGAGCAACTGTTTCAAAGAATAAACACATTGCCTTGTAGGAGAAACTCCAGAAAACATCCTGCTAGTGACAGCGGCAGCCGCTGCCCATCATCCCAGACGTTCCTCTGCCAAAAACGGCAGGGCTTTGTGAGCTGGCCTGCCAAAGGCTGGGAGCTGCAAACTCTGTATTCCCGAGGATGCCCAAAGGAAATCAGGTTTCAAAGAGCTGAATTAAAACTGAGGCTGCTAGCTGCTGCTTCAAAATGCAGAATCTGTGTTTGTCCTGGCCCCCTCAGCCCAGGGATTTCTGGCATCCCCTTTCTGCAGGAAAGTGTCCTGCTCACTAATCCCTACACACCCCTCAGGCTGCTTGGTGGCGGGGCTGGTTGGGCACCAGGCAGGCAGGTAATGAGCCTGCTCACTCCCTCCATGCAGGCTTTTAGGTTAAATCAAAATTGGTTGTTTATTATTTTGAATACACTGCCTTATACTGTTGTAAAGCCTGTTACTTTTCTTCTACTGATTGGTTTTAACTAGCAAACAAAGTTTTATTTGCTGTTAGTTTAAAACAGTGGAGTAAATACACATCCCCCACAAAATAATTCCACAAAATAATATTTGTTTGCTAGATATTGCATCCCTCACTTATACAGAGGCTTTCATAACCCATTTCCTTCAGAGTATATGACACTAAGTGGGCAGGGTCAATTTAAAATAAGTAAAAGCTTCGTAAGCATTTGCTTAGGAAGTCAACTTCAGTCTATTGTATATGTTTCTGTAAACAAAAAGATGCAGCAGAGTTTGGGATGGCTATAAGCACAGGCAGGGGTTTTGAGATAATGTCTTAACCAGTGTTCCATCGGTTTTTCAGCCCAGAAGCTTTTGCTTCCTCACTGGGAGAGCCTGTATGAAGACCTGTGTGGATGATGTTGTAAGGTAAGGGATACACCTTAAATGCCTTCTTCAAGTTCTTAATTTTGCATTGCTACAGAGTTTCTGTGTGAGAAGTTGCTGCACTCTGTCTATTTTCTTCTCAGAGGGACTCCGTTGTTTGGTAGTGACAAATAATGGTTTACAGTGTAGATGATGTCTTAAATGATGCTGAATTTCAGTTTCTCTGCTACGAGCCTCAAACTGTCCCTTTGGGGAGAGGCTTATGCTGTGTGTCTGTCTGGAGGAACTCTTGGTGCAGAATGATAAAACATGCACAGTGTTTTATCCAGCTTGGTAATGTGACATTAAAACAGGAGTGTGTAGTGTGTTTTCTGATTCCCAGAAACATTGTCAGTTCGTGGTGTTCCCCTGCCAGTTTTAGTGTCACCTTTCCTTCTACACTCATCTCTGTCTGGGCAGCAGTCCCCATCATCTCTATTCCCCTGCAGACACGGTGCACTCGAGGTTTTTATCCACAGGCAGGCTGATGATCAATGAACAGCACCATTCTCACTTCCTCTCCCAGGGCCTCATGCACTGAGTCACCAAATAATTTGTCAATAAATGGAGAATCTATTTGAAATAAATTGATGAGGAAATGTGGAACTCCTCTGATCTGGGGTCCTAAAAAACAGGCTTTCATGCTAAGCAGTTCACAAGGCTGCATGCATATTACAAAGTCTAGCAGTGTTAGTATAGTACAGCTGTGCTGCATATTTCCTTAATCTGCTTGTTTAGAGACACCCAGAATGTTCATCTTAATCATTTCCGCTGCATAGTAGGTACAGGAGGAAATGCCAGGGAGAGCCCTGTCACTGGGAAAACGCATAATTTGAATGTGTAATGTAAATATTTTAGCTAACCAAATGTAAACACTGTTTTGCCTTTAGGATGGGAAAAGACTGTCACAGTCAGAAACGAGCTGACATAAGAGTGACCCTGTATAGATGAGATACAAAATTGTGTTCACACATTTTGGTAATCAAAACAGAGCCCTTAATGAATTGCCTAGTGTGAAAGGAATTACAAACACAAATGTGCCTGACACAAGGCATTAGGAAGTTGCTGCTGTATTAATGCTAGAATGAAGGACTTTTCAGGATTCATGGGGATCCAAGCTCTATGGGGAGGATGGTGGGAGATGAAAGAGATAAGATGATGAGAGATGTGCTATGGTGAGGGCTAAACAAAGGCTGGAGACTCTCTGGAGGGAAACCTAAACTTGTTAGTATGCTCTGAATGTCCATGCTCCTCCATGCCACTGACTGTGACTTGTGTTCACTGTGCCAGGACAGTAAATTCAGACGTTTTCAAGGGTTAGAAGATGGCAGAAGCAACAAATATACTCAATTCAGTAAGAAGCACCTTATTGCAATCACAGCCGTGCTGTAGCTTTTCAGCCAGTGGATTCAAAGGAAAGCAGAGTTCTTAGGGAGCTCAGAGTGGTTGCTCATCGGTTCTGCCTGAACTGGCTTCATAAGTGAGTGAAGACTTATGTTCAAGTGGTGCTTGATAGAAACCAAACACCTGGTTTAACTTTTGGTACTGAAATCAGTCCTGAAAAACAGCATGATCTGGGGTCCTAAAAGACAGGCTTTCATGCTAGGCAGTTCACAAGCCTGCATGCATATTAGAAAGTCTGGAATCCTCCCAGATTCCACTTGACTTCATTGTGCAGTAAATGGTCTTTGGGCATTCATCAGATCGCTAAGCAGAAGAAACATCTGGAGATGATTTCGTTGGCTGTATGTTCTAGCCCGTGAATTCTTAATGTCAGAAGAGGAAGAAACAGCACAGAGGATTTGTCTAGACTCCGTGGATTGCAAGAAACTAGTTGGATCTTATTTCTGAAGGCACAGGTTCATGTAAATGCCCAAATGAGTAAGCTTTCATTACTGGAATAGCTGGGGATTTTTCAAGGTTGCTTTTTGCTTGTATTATCAACAGTGGGTAATATATTAATGTCTGCCTCACATTTGCTATTTCTTTGTTATAACAGCTGGAAATTTACATTTACACGTAGGCCTCAGAGCTAAAAATGTCATTCCCCAGGTTAAAAACCCATAATGATTTTTGTTGTTCTCCTTGATAGGGAAGGAGAACTGAAAACACAAGGAAAAGACAAACAGGAAGGGTAGCCCCAGACAATAAATGCTCTCAGCTGGAGCAGAGATTAATCATGTATAATGTAGCCTTAAAAATGTCATTGTCTGCCACTACTACAGCAATTTAGCTATAGCCAAATGAGCGAATCTATCTATTTAATTATCTAAAGAAAATAGAAGAAATCAAATATTAAATGTATCAGTGAAAATACAATGGCTTTTTTTTCAAGTACAGGGGAAATTTAGAGCCCCTCTTGTGTGGATGAAAAGTGTTCAGCACAGATGAGAATAACTTTATCACAGAATTAAACTTGTGTTGCTAGAAAATCTAATCACTTCATGCAATAACTTCTTTTAATTATTCTCTTGAATACAGATAATCCAAATCTCCTTTATCTCCCAGACAGATGTATCAGTTTCCATGGGAAAGCATTAATACAATCAAAAGTAAGAACTTCGTTTTTTTCCTTTATGGGCAGGAAGTTCATACACTTTTGCTGAAGGGCTGCATTGTGCCTTTAAAAAAAAGGATTTAAAATTAGATGCTGTGTTTTAGCACAGGAAAAAAGGTAGGAAGAGTTTGCTCTGTAGGGCTGAATTCACAGCATCATTTTTCTAAAATAAAGTCATATTATTTGAAAGCTGAGAGAGAGGGAATTTAAGAGAAGGGAAGTGCAGTTGAAAAATTTTTGGACGGAGATTGTAAACTTCAGGGCAGAAGGGAGTTAGATAAAAGAATCTGTGAGAGTGGGAATAATAATGTGAAGAGGAACAGACTGTGCTGGTGATATCTTTTGGCCAAGGTTTTGAAAAGAATTCAGAATATGATCTGCAATCTCTGTCTTTGAGGGGGGGAATGGGAATTTTTCCATTTACAGTAAAGTCAAGTAAGAATGTCATTGCTCCAGCTGTTAAAATATTTTGAAGTCTACTTCAAACTGATAACTTATTGCAGTGTTAAAGTATAGACTTGTAGACAGAAGAAAAAGAGAAATTGGAATCAATCCCAAAAAGTGGTTTGGAGGTATAGTTTATACTTCCCTGAGAAGGAATGGGACTGCTTGTCCAGTTCAACTCATTCCAACCCAGTTGTCTGAGAGACTGTTTTTTAGGAAGCTTCTTTGGATAGATACAGCTGGAGGTGAACAAATCTCAAGGTTCAAATCTGCAAGGGAAACTTGGAAGTCTCTGTCAAAGCCAGGGGTAAACAGGATGCATATTTTGAGGCTGGAAGTGCCATCTGAGGGTGACTTCACAGAGCACGTGAGGACCACGGCATCCCAGGCATCTCTGGCATACACTTGAGAACAGACTTGTGTAAGGCAGAGTTTTGCAGAAGGTGGATGGGCTACATGGGCTGCTCCTGTGCCTGCAGCTTTTTCAGAAGCCCCTCTTTCATCATGGGACAGAGCAGTCCACCATCCTTGCCTGTTCACTCATTTCTATGTAACGCAGTCTTCATGTTCATATCTACATTTAACCAGCTCCAGATGAGTAGCAGTAACTTTCAGCATTAGGTAAATATGTCTGTGAAATGAATTTATCCTTCTGCTGTTTGGACTGTCAGTAGCCTTGAACAATCTGCTGTCATCAGACTGACTTGGGTTCTTAGTTTTGCTTTTGTGGCACAACCAATTTCATTTCAGTGTATGTGAATTAAAGAGAGTATGCTCTAATAATATTTTATATTTACATGGCACATCTCATCCCAGAGGACTTTATAAATCATGTATATTCAACACCTCTGACCTTTCACAGTCCCTTCAGAGCTGGAGAACAAGCATTTTACAAAAGCAATAAAACCATAGGATTTTTTTTTCCTCTGTAATACTGGGGGGAACTCATTAATTACAGAATGAATTTTATGTTCCCTAAGCTACAGCTTCAGTTTGTGAAGACCTTTATTGAAAATTCCTTCAAGATACGATGCATGATCCTACTTTTTGTGTACACCACGAACAAAGGGCTAATCCATCCTTTTAAAACTGGACCCCTGGAAATATTTCACTCTTGCATCTAAATGAACATAAAAGTGTCACTGCCTCTATACCTCTGCTTCATTTTACCAGTCAATTGTCACCTCTTCCTGAAAGATCTGCCCCAAATGCTATAGTCTGCCTTCCCCTTCAGCTGCTACGCATCCTCCCATCACAGTGTGAGAAATGCAGAAAATAGATGCATGAGAAAACCTATTTACTTGCTTTTGAGACAGTCAAATGTGACTGATCCTCTGAGGTATCAAGCTGAAGAAATGCAGCATGTCTGTGCATTTGGTCAGCATATGCAGAGGAGGAGGGATGAACAAGGCAGAGGAGGAGGATGGCAATGAATTCATCTTCCTGGCATTCAGTGCCTCTTCCTGTGAACATTAGGAGGGTGACCCAAAGCCTGTGGGTATCAGTGTCTGTCCCTGCAGCACTGGGTCAGTGAGGGACAGGGTGGGGCCCTTTGTCTTCCCAGGGCATCCTTCTTGTGGTGCACAAAGGCTCAGCTTATGTGCAGGACTACCTCTACCTCAGTGGGATCAGATTCCCTCTACTTGGAGACAAAAACTCCAGAGGAGCTGCTTTCCTGAGTTTTAAAGAAGAGAATGGACATGCAACCTGTCTACGTACAGTCTTTGCTAGGCCATTTTGTGGGTTGATTCGGGCCTTATTTAGTCTGTTGTTTTAAACAGAAGGACAACAACTTTTCTATTCTAGCTGTACAATTCAGCAAATGGATTACAAAACCACAGTTAACTGTGACTGTCATGGATGGTAACTCAGTTAATAATAGATTAAAGAATCTTTACATTTTCTATGTATTGTTTTGCCATTTGTCTCTCTTTGTAGCTCGTCTGGATTTAATATAGTTTATTCCATTTAGGAGCATTACTGAGACAAACCCCATTAAAGC